CAATTCGCGAGTGGAATAGCGTATCTCACAAGCTCGGTGAGTAGGGAGCGTCAAAACACTCGGCAGTTATTTTGAATAATTTAGCAGGGAGCGTGGTTACTGTTACCCGCATAATTTTACTTTTAAAAATATTTTTTTAGATGTAGCAAAATAATAATTTTTTATTTTTAATAATTTATTTTTATATCAATATATTAAAACAAGCTATAAATATCAAAAATATTAAATTAAAATAAAAATTTCTTAAAAATAGATTGAATCACAATGTAAAACCTAGGAAAGTAATATGCATGTTCTTAAAAATAAAAAAATTACTAGGCTCGCGGCATACCATCGTTGCATTCATCAGCAATGTTTGAATTCCTACTCTTTTTCGTATTTGATTTTGTCCCTCTACCTTTTCTTTTGTATTAAAGGACTCTTCATTTACAAGTTATTAATTCGTACGTTTATGTAGTGCAGAGTATTGAGTTGAATGCTTGGTGACCCATAATCCAATAACTTTTTTTTAAAAAGGTGACCCATAATCCAATAACTTTTTTTTTTTTAAAATCACTTTTGAGATTAAAATTAAAAGATTGAGATAAAGTAAATTATATAAGACAAAAAAACTAAATGCATCTAATTAATTAAAGTAAATTATTTTTTATGTCTTATTTTTTTCTCTTTAAATTATAGGATTCAGAAAATGAAAGAATTACTGTAATATATCGGTATTATTATGATGAAGGGACCCTTATATAATAAAATAGAGAGTGCAAATACTCAATCAAGACAAGAGGAAGTATGGCAACTGACAGCCTTACGATGGCTAAAGATAACCTTCTTTGATGTGGTTAGAGTTTCTTTGTCTGTGTCTTTATTCTGTTTCTCATTTTGCATTTTCATGTCTAGCACTATAAATATTTAAAGCATTTTTTAATTTTTTATATTAAAAAATATTTTATATTCTTTATATTAAAATTTATTTTATTTAGAATAGTTTATAAAATTGAAGAAAAAATATTTTATTTTTTAACTTTTTATCTATCAAATTTAATCTTTGTTATTTTAATAAATTTAAAAAATAAAAATTAATAAATTATTTTTTAGTTTATTTTTTATTTTCATTGTATGGCCAAATTCTATAAACTTTTTCACTTTTATTTTTTTTTATTGTACTGCTGAGTATTGAAAAATAATATATTTTCCATGAATTTACTTCTTATAAAATCAATTTTTCAAATAATAAAAATTTCTAACAAAAATACTCTAGCAATAGTACTCTCGTGCCAATGCTAGTACTCGTTTTCTGTAATTATTTTTTATTATCTATATTTACTTGAATACAGAGAAAAACTAAAAAAAAAAAAGGAAAAGTCTATTCACAATATTGAAATCTGATCTATTACATAGTATCTTATCGACTTGAAACTGAAACTAAATCAAGTTAGAGAAAAACATGGAAAAAAAATCTAATATAACTTAATTAATCTATAAAACTCGCATAAAAATCATGTTGCAATTCGATAACCTAATTAAAATCTAAAATCTAAATTTTTACTAAAATACTAATGTTTTAATTAAAAAATTAATTTAAATTACCCGATAACTTGATCAAAATTCAAAGCCTGGATTTTGAACTATACCAGGTTTGAAAACCATGATTCCATCTATTCTACAAAATCCAGAAACGTCGAAGATCATTCGTTACTGCTCCAGTCATCAAAGAAAATTGATTGATCAAATTGGATGAATCATAGAAGAACTGGGGAGGCTTGCATTAATGCAATGTTTCATAGTTGCTGCACCTGCTCCCACTAAACCAACCAGGCCTTTTCTTATTCCTTCGTGGGTAAATAATAACAAAGCCCTGAAAAAAAGGGACATCCTAAAGACTAAAACTTGATCATTTTTCTTTAATTTTTTAATATTAAAAAGGATTTGATGGAGTTTTTTCTCCAGAGCAAAACATGTTTTCTAGATATCAATACCAGAATATATTTTATCAGCACTAATCAACTTAAATTAACATATTAAATTCATAATTAAAATTACTAACTTATTAACATATTAAATTCATAATTAAAATTGCTAACTTTTTGTAAAAAAATAATATAAAATTTAATTTTTAATGAATTTAATATTGAATAATAAAATTAAAAATTAATTAATTAAAAAATATAAAAAATAATCTATATCAATTTGAATTAACCTGTCAATCTCATCACTCGAATTATAAACTTGAGATAACCTCGTAAAAAACAAACTAAAATAAATTATTTAGTGTATTTTCTAACCAATTTAATGTTGCAAAGAGAAATAAACAAAAAAAAACCTAAGAAATTACTTGAATTAACTTGGCTGGCCAACCAAACCTGGGATCCAGATAACAAGACTACTTGAATTAACTTGGCTGGCCAACCAAACTTGGGATCCAGATAACAATGATAACTTCATAAAAAATCAACTAAAATTAATTATAAAGTTCACTTATCGGTTAACTCAACAATAAAGTATTATAATAAAAAAATTAATTAAAATTTAAAAACATTTTAGTTAATTGGATTAATTTTATTATATTCATAATTCGAGTTAACATGTTAAGTATTATAATAAAAAAATTAATTAAAATTTAAAAACATTCTAGTTAATTGAATTAATTTTATTATATTTATAATTCGAGTTAACATATTAGATTAATTTGTAAGACTCCAACACATGCTATAAATAACTCTATACAAAGTAAGTTAAAGATAAATTAATAAATTTAATTATTAATAAATCTAATAATAAAAAAAACTAAATTTAAAAAGAAATACAGGGAAAAGAAAAGGACAGATCAATGGTGCTGTGCCCAGCAACTTCGAGAAAGGAAACAATGAATTCCTCTGAATCTTGGTAGGGACGAGGCTTCTGTCTACAAGTCTCTCGTCGTCAGAATTATACCAGTTTATAAGAAAACTAGGAAAATCGTGCATTGTAGGAGATGAAAAAAAATGAAGAATCTAATAAAAGCCACATTTCTCTGTATACTTAGAATGTGTTTAAGAGCATGCAATATATATTTTTTTTTTGTACGTGGAGTCCATCTAATACACAAAATGCGTTAGATTTTCATGCTTTTCCTTACTTTTTATACGGGTCTGGTAGAAAAAACATTACACATTTATAAGAAAGTAGTTTTTTTTTTAAATAAATTTTTAAAAAATAAATTATTTTCTGGTATTTATTAGTGTAATGGAAAAAAAATTAGAAAATACTTTTTAGTATTTGATTATATCATAAAAAATACACTAAAAAATAACTTATTAATATTTTATTTATTTCAAGTTTATTAAAATAATGAGGATCAAATTTTACAAGTTAAAAGGTTGAATGAGAATGAAATTGAAAAAATATAATTCATAAATGATCTCAAATAAAATAAATAATAATCAAATTAATAAAGATTAAATATAAAAACTTAAAAAATCAAAATAATAATAGTTAATATTTTATATATAATTTTAAATAAAATAAGTAACAATTAAAATAACGAGGACCAAATTTGATAGATAAAAAATTTTAATAAAAAAATAACAAGGAAAAAAATAATAATTATAAAAATGAGGATCAAAGTTAATATAAAAATTAAATTTTAAGAGATAAAATTAAAAAATAAAGATTCAAAACAAAATATATATAGTAATTAAAAGTTTGATGAACAAATTTGATATAATCAAAAAATAATATAACATTTCTAAATTTTTCATAACTTTTAAAAAATATTTTCAGTCCAAAGTTTTTAGAAAAACACTTTTATAGAAACCAAATTAAATTTTTATTTAACTGAAAAGTATTTTTTATTTATCAATTTTTTTAATTTGACTAAAAAATATTATTTATTAATTAATTTTTTTAATAATAAATAAATACAAAAAAATATATTTTTTTAAAATCCATTTTCAAGAAACAAACATTTCCCCAATCAGACCAAACTTTCGAGCATCATGTATAAAAGATTTCAAGTACGGTTTAGAATTGTATTTCAAATAATATTTTTTTAAAAAATGTTATATATTTTCAAATTATTTTAATATATTAATATAAAAAATAATTTAAAAAAACAAGATACGTGCTCTAACTCCACTTAGACATGGATCTTGACTCTCGAGGCCTCGCTAAACGACAAGGGTCTCAAACATGGTGGTGGATTCCTTCGAATGTCACGGGATAAGCACGCTGCAGTGTTGTTATTGGCTTACGTGGACATGCACCCTTCTCACGTTAATTTTTGCTGCTCTAATTATCGGATATGTGGACATTTAAAAATATTTTTGAAGAAATTTAAATTTTTGTATTTTAAATTGATTTTTTTATACTTTTAAAAAATAATTTTTAAAATAGAAAAAATATTATTTTAATATATTTCAAAACATAAAATATTTTAAAAAATAACCATTATCCTAATACTTTCACAAGACTCCTGGACATGTAGTTATTTTTTGCCCTCTTGTTATTATAAGAAAATAATCTCATGGCATTATCTCGGATATTATTACTGGCTTGATGCACATTTCAGCCATCCAGCGCCCTCGGCTCCAGGAAGGTCTCGTAGCCACACAAAATCCCACCTAGCTGTAAACAACCTGCACCTTGTATCTACAACCATTCCCTAGAAGACGAAAACCGCAAAGTCTGCCTTCGTGATCCCTGAACGACGGCACTACTTGTACTTTATGCTATCTTAATGTCAAATATGAAAAACAATTAAATAGTTCCTTGACCAATGCTAATCATGCATACTTTAGCATAATTTTGTCACAAAAAATGTTTTTTTCGTCAACCTTTTCATATTATTTATTTTTTAAAAATCAAAATAAACTAGAAAAGAGCATAAAACAGACAAAGAATTTTATAAATGGAATGAAAAACACAGAGATTTATATATATATATATATATATATATATATATATATATATATATATATATATATATATATATATATATTTCTTAAAAACATTGAGGACCAATTGATCATTTTTTCTAAGTTCCAGAAACTAACTCCATGATTTTCCTACGTCAACTTTGGTGCTCAATTCATATATTGCATCTTCCGATGATCTCCACATCCCACTTTCTTTCAATCCCTACCGTCCATTCTCAAACTTCAGTTGACATTCCCGCCATTTCCTTCTCCAAGAAACCATATCATGCCGCCAAAAACAACGACCGTTTTCACCAAATCTCTCTCACTTCTCCCTCCTACTCGACTCAGATCATTAACAACCGTTCCCGAGTCAACTCACTTAACCGATCCCCACTCAACCCATTCTTTCTGCTCCAGAGCCCTAAACTTCTCTGCCAAAATGGGTTTTCTTCGTGAAGGAAAACAAGTACATTCACATGTTATAAAGTTGGGATTTTGTAATGTATTGTCCTTGCAAAATCAGATTTTGAATGTCTATATAAAATGCAAGAGCTTTAATTATGCGCACAGATTGTTTGACGAAATGCATGTGAGAAATGTGGTTACATGGAATACTGTGATTTGCGGGCTTGTAGACTGCAGGGGCAGTGATTATGAGTCAAGTGTCTACATGGGTTTTTGTTATTTCAGGAAAATGCTGCTCGATAAGGTAGGTTTTGATGCTATAACTCTTAATGGGTTGCTTCGCGCATGTCTCGAGTTAAACGATGTCGAGATTGGTAGAGAATTGCATTGTTTTATAGTGAAATTGGGTTTTGCAGTGAATAGTTTTGTCAACAGTGCTCTGGTTGATTTGTATGGGAAATGTGGATTAGTCAAGGAAGCGAGGCGTGCTTTTGATGAAGTATACTGTAGAGATTTGGTGTTATGGAATGTGATGCTGTCTTGCTATGCTATGAATTGCTTAGCTGAAGAGGCTTCCGGTTTCTTTAAGTTAATGCAAGAGGAGAATTTTATGACAGATGGTTTTACATTTTCTAGCATACTCAATTCATGTGGAACTCAGGGATCTTGTAACCTAGGAAGACAGATCCACGGTCTTGCTATCAAACTGTCTTTTGATTTAGATGTATTGGTGGCTAGTGGCCTTGTTGACATGTATGCAAAGAGTGAAAATATAGATGATGCTCGGAAGGCTTTTGATGGGATGGCTGCTAGAAATGTAGTCTCTTGGAATACTATGGTTGTGGGTTATGGTCGCCTTGGAGATGCGGGGGAAGCTATGAAACTTCTCATTGGAATGTTTCAAGAAGATTTAAGACCTGATGAAATTACTCTGGCTAGCATTATTAGATCATGCAGCAGTGCATTGACCTATTGCGAAATTATGCAAGTCAATGCTTATGTACTTAAAAATGGTTTCCATGCCTTTTTATCAATTGCAAATACTTTAATAAATGCATACTCCAAGGGTGGTAGCATTGCAATGGCACTTCAGTGTTTTAGCACAGTTATGGAGCCTGATCTTGTTACTTGGACTTCACTTATTGGTGCGTATGCATTCCACAGTCTTCCAAAAAAAAGTATTGATACTTTTGAGGAGATGTTAGCTGATGGTGTATGGCCAGATCAAATTGTCTTTCTGGAAGTCCTTTCTGCCTGTAGCCACGCAGGGCTAGTAAATGAGGGGCTTCATTACTTCAGTTTAATGAAAGATTATCATATTTGGCCAGGTTTAGAGCACTATACTTGTCTCATTGACCTTCTCGGTAGAGCCGGTCTCTTGGACGTGGCTTTTAATATTTTGAATTCAATGTCAATTGAGTATAGCTCAGACACCTTGGGAGCATTTATCGGGGCATGTAAAATCCATGGAGACGTAAAATTAGCTAAATGGGCCGCAGAAAAGCTTTTGGAAATGGAGCCAAACAAGCCTGTAAATTATACTCTTATGTCTAGCGTCTTTGCTTCTGAAGGTCACTGGCATGATGTGGCAAGAATACACAAACTGATGGGGGATAGGTGTGGTCACGGAGTTCCAGGTTGTAGCTGGATGGAATATGCTGGTGCCATAGATGAAGTTCCTGTCAAAATTTAATCGGTGTATGGTATGTTAGGGAATGCCCCATGGGTAATACAGGAACAATATTTTCTTTCCCAAGTACATGCCATGCATGACAATGTTTGTGATGAACGTGCACCCTAGCTCCCCTCATCTGATGCCTTGGCTTGAAACAAGCTTCTCGACTGGTGGTGAGTGTTTATCAGTTTGGTTCTTGTCTTGAGGTATGCCTATTTGCAAATGTGGTGATCATTAATTTTAATTCTTTTTGTTGTTCCTAACTTGAAATCCGCAGAAAATGTTTTGATAGCAAGGCTGACCCCCTTTCATCTTACTGGGCCTAGTGGGGCGAGACGGTCCAAATATAGAAGGCAAGTTAAACCGCGACTCAGGTGTTAAGCTTTTTGCTCACTCGAGTGTCATTGAACAAGTGGCTCAACTAAAATCTGATCGTAGTATGCATCTTTGAAGTCATTTGGATAATTCTCATACTGCAAATATCGCAACATCCTTGCTAGAAGTATCTTCCATACGTCCTTTTCTTTGTGTTGCTGACATCAGCATTTGTTAGGTAATAGAGATCCAGTATAGAAACATCACCCGCCTTCTACCACTAAAAGTTGGTTGGGTTCTGATTGAATTGTCACATCTCCCTAGTAACAAGTCAAATTACCACCAATCCATTTTTTTATTTGTTGTAAAACAGGTGTTGGTGGAAAGTTTCCCTTTAAACTCTGGCAATCTTCAACAAACTGCAAAACCCTGTCATTTTCCACTGCCATTTCAGTACTCATCACTGTTTATAACTCTGACAATCTCCATCCTAACTGCACAGACCAGTTGATTGACTTCTAATCAAAGAGTTTCTATCTTCATGTGCGGTGCACTCTCATGATATAAATGTTGTTTCTATGTCTGGTAAGCTCCACTTCTGTGGTGGATTTGTCTGGTACGAATTCTGCACATGCAAATGATTTGGAAATATTCTCCTCGAACTGCAATCAGTAATTTAGCCAATGCTCTTTAAAGCTGCAAGCAATTTTAATTTTAATTCCCGAACATAATACAAAATGAATAGTCTGAAAGGAGTTTCTTTCCTCATGGACACGACCTCTCTTTTGCAACGGCTATCATATTTTTTCTTAATCTGGGAGGGTATGGTAGAATATAATCAAATTAATGTTTCTGTCATAAGAGTTATTATGCATTGTTTCCGTGTTAGTGTGTGAAACTGGCTTGAGGAACAAAGAAGGTAGACAATCCAGATGATTTCTTGCTTGTCAGTAACGGAATTTGAGGTTTTTGTGAAATCTATTATCCTAGGATCTGTGGGGCCTGCTGAAGTGATCAACCACTCAGCTTCTGTTTCTGAAGTAGTTTGCAAGAATTCTTGATCAACTAAACGTTATACTCTATTAGGGTTTTTGGTGTGAAACCAACTGTGATTTGGACAGGGAAAGGATCCAAACTACCATCCATTACAACTTGGGGACACATTGAATAGAGCACAGACCCTCAAGACACTCTTGAAACTGACACGTGACAGTTAAGTGTAACATCACAGCCCTTCTCTGTCTCTGTGCAAACTGTCCAGCACAAAGAGAGGCCAAGATGTTTCGGTGTCTTTATGAGTGAAATGAAGGCCACTAGCTGCTACCAAGTGCTGGGATTTGACTCAGGGCACGACCAAGCAATAAGATAACCTTTTCCTTGTGGGATTTCTGTGGTTCAATGAGAGAAGATTGTCCACACTCCCGGCCTCACGATTTAACAACTTTTTCTAATTTTTAGAGTGTTGATAGCGTCAACAACCAACACATGATTTTGTTTCTCTGCGGAATGTCAATCGATCAATCTTTAGATCCTTTTCTTAACTAGTCAAAATGTATTGGTGTCATTTTAATCTTATTCAGTTGTTCATCCTAGTGTTCTGACTTGTTAATTGGTTTTCTTTTCTGGTTTTGTTCTCCTTTTTAATTTAATCTCCATAAAGAAGCTCCACTGCTAGATTACAAGTTCTACTGACTCTGCCAATCTTATTATTTTTTTATTTTTTTTACCATTGACGACTCCTCTCCCTTTGTTCACCATCATTATCAACACTTGCGTGTTACTATCATATTTCTTATGGAAACTCATTGGAAGTTTTCCCGGTCGGTATCTAAAATAAACAATTTAAAATTTCATCCTCACACTTGTTATTAGAATTATAATTTTATTTTTCTAGATTATTTTATCTTTTCAATTATTTATTAAGAAAGACAATGTTTGAAATTGTGTTAATGATTGCTTTTTAAAATATATTAAAATAATATTTTTTTATTTCTTAAAATTTATTTTTAATATCAAACAATCTAAAATTATAAAAAAATAAAAATATTTTTTAAACATAAAAACAAAAACAAGGATATTTTATATAAAAAAGTAAAAAACTTTCAATTTAAGAAAAATAATACAGCGGGCCTTAATACTAATCATTTATAATAATCAAATTGAAACCTCGATGATCAAGCTTAATTATAGTTGGTGCCAGTTACCATTCATAACTTCAGCGGCTCACGTTAGCCCCACCGACCTTTGAAAAATCAAAGTCTTCCCCTTTTTTTATTAACACAACAGCTACCCGCCATTTCTACCCACCTCTCTCTAAACAATGAAGAGCCCATATTCTCGCTACGCTCGCCGGACCCCAGCCTCCGGCGTAGGGTATACGCCGGACTGTGATCCATACTCCCCGACATCCTCCTCATACTCGAGCGGCTCCACCTTGAAGAAACGGAACCCGTTGTCGGTGGCCGCGAAATCAATGGCCGGTGTGTTTGTTGCTTGTTTCACGCCTCCCGAGCCTGAGCCGAACAATTCAAAGGACTTTGGTTACTCTGAAGAGTTAAAAGCTCCATCTGGTAAACTCCTTGTTTGTTTTGTTGACTTTTTTACTGTTTTGCGGTAAGGTTTTTGCTGAGAGAAAAGGTAAGAAACCTGAGATGTGGTTCTTGATTCATATGATGTAGTCTTTTTTGGAGACTTTTCTTTTTGGGTTGGACTATAGAATGCGATTGCAACGCGGTAATGATGGTTTGTTTTTAATTCATCTTCTGTGTAAACAAATCATGGCCTAAAAGTTGTGTTGGAAGCAAGGGATCAGATCCTTGAATATTTTTCTTTTACTATAAGTTTTTATTTGGATATAAATGAGAAATTACTGAATGTGCATGGTTTATCAAAGATCACTTCTTGTCTACTTATTGTTATGCTATGACAACGTTTGATTATCAATAAATTTCTTGAAACCTTAACAAATGTGTTTGGTACCCTGCCCTTCCCTTTCTAAAGGCAGTACTTGTTATATACACCAATTTGATTTACTTCTTTGTTATTTATCGATTTTATGGTAAAAGTTGGGCCGAATCTCAATGTGTTAGTATGATAATAACAAATTAAATAAGCAGATTTGGTATTACTCCAAAGCAACAGCAACTGGGGGTTCTTGGCCCATTTCAAAAAAGCGTAATTAATCTAAAAAAAAGAAAGAAAGTAGACTTGTATATCCGATTTTAAGTTTATTTACTAAACACATAACAATTTGTGAGACAACGCTTTAGTTTCAGAGCATTGAAGCATACCTGAAGTACATGGTGAATCTTTTTCTTTTTTTTCTTTTTCTATATGAAATGAATTTGTAGACTTAGAATGAACTGCTCAAATTTGTTCCTTCCAGTTGCATCTAGTACTTCTGGTGGCAATGAAAGGAGACGAAGTTCAAGAAGAGGTATATATAGCGGTCCAGCCAATTCATTCCATGGGAGAGAACCTGGGAGTGTAAATTTTACCATGGAGGAAATCTATGCAGCCACAAGGAACTTCTCTCCTACATTCAAGATTGGACAAGGTGGTTTTGGGACAGTATACAAGGGAAGATTCCAAGATGGAACTGTTGTTGCCATCAAACGTGCCAAGAAGGTTGGTGAAAGTTGCAGTTTATTTTTCTGCTTCAGTGAATGTGAGTATTCTGAGGTTTCACAGATTGCTTGGTTACCTGTGTCTGCAGAGTGTATATGATAAGCATTTAGGTGTAGAATTTCAAAGTGAGATTCGAACACTGGCACAGGTGGAGCATTTAAATCTAGTAAAGTTCTATGGATATCTGGAGCATGAAGATGAAAGAATTGTTCTTGTGGAGTATGTTGCCAATGGAACTCTCAGAGAACACTTGGATTGTGAGTTCTTCGCAACCTCTCTCTGTGCCTGCATGTGTGTCTGTTTGCACGCTCATGTGTGTTGGATGTGGCAGATGAAGATACATGTTTGCAAATTTGGGAATTTTGTTGATTCACGAATGACATTGATGCAGGTATTCATGGAAATGTTATTGACCTTGCCGTGCGCCTAGATATTGCAATTGATGTGGCTCATGCAATCACTTATCTTCACATGTACACAGGTTTTCTTTTAATTCCAACCAACCTAATTTTACTTGTATCAAAGTTAGAGCTGCTGCTATTTCTCTGACACTTGCAGAAAAGCTTGAGATATCTTATTGGATCATTGTGGCTTTCTATGTAGATCACCCAATTATTCACAGGGACATAAAGTCCTCCAACATCCTCCTCACAGAAAACTTTCGAGCCAAGGTAGCTGACTTTGGTTTTGCTAGACTGGCAGCTGATAGTGATTCAGGTGCCACCCATGTGTCTACCCAAGTTAAAGGAACTGCTGGCTACTTGGACCCAGAATATTTGAGGACTTATCAATTGACTGAGAAGAGTGATGTTTATTCATTTGGTGTATTGCTGGTTGAACTAGTGACAGGTAGGCGCCCTATTGAAGCGAAAAGGGAAATCAAGGAGCGTATAACTGCAAAATGGGTACAATACTCTTTCCCTTTGTTTCTTCAGTAAATAAAAGTCTTACTAAATATTAATTATGTCATGTAAAACTATAAACTCCCAGCTCTATAGTTATCCACTACTAGCAATATCTGATGGATCCCACCATGGAAGTCCTCAACAGAGCCTAGAAGGCAATCCCAGCCCTCCCATCTAATCTCACATTTTGTAGGAACTTTGTACCAAGAGAATTAAAGCAATCAATAATAGACCTGTTCTGATTTCAGTCAGTTTTTGCGCAGGCAATAAAGAAGTTCGCGGAAGGTAATGCCATTTTAATATTGGACCCGAAACTAAAATGTACTGCTGCAAATAACTTGGCCCTGGAAAAGATTCTTGAACTGGCCATGCAATGTTTGGCTCCTCACAGACAGAGTCGGCCAAGCATGAGGAAATGTGCTGAGATTCTTTGGAGTATCCGTAAGGATTACAAGGAACAATCAGCCTCAGATTTTCGTTCTCTTTCTTCTAAATCACAGGGGAGTATTTCAGTAATAACAGAAGAATAAACAAATAGCTGCCTAGTATTGCAGAAATGATAATGTGAAGAGAAAAAAGCCAAGCAGGTTGCTTTTTAAGACGAACAAGTGAGTCGAGAGTAATTGTGCAGGGTGGTCAGAGTAGAAAAAGGATTGATAGCTTTCCATAGAGCGATTTCCAAGATGGCACAATATTGCCCAATAAGACTCCGCTGCTTGCAAGATCACAGGAGGTGTTCGTTGTGAAGTTATGAATGTATATAGGAAAATCGTTTTAAGGTGACGAAGTGCCTTTGCTTCCACCTGATTTTGTGTTTACTGCTTCATCTTTTTGGTTACAATTGTTTTTTAATCTTTCATGTTGTTTCCATCCATTCTGCAACATTTCTAAACAGGGTGGGGTTTGTATTTTTTTCTGTATTGTTGCAGACAAATATTTCTTGGAGACTATCCCCCAATCTAGAACATATCATTTTGAGAAATCCATGTCAAATGGATGTTGTGTGAGAACATAAACATTGTAAACTATGTGATTAATATTGTATATCGATAGGCTTGCAATATTTTCACTACTTTTTGAGGAATTACATGTAAACATTTCCTCTCGTGATCTCCATTTGGATGCAAACTGCGTCCTAGTTGGAAACTGGATGTCTGGTTCAATCTCTCTCCAGCATTTAGTTTATTCAGATTGCAATAAGCGGCTGACACTTCTCTTGTTGAGGACGAGGTCCCATCTATCCACTTGCTAATTTATATGTCAAGGTACAATAATTTCATTTCATTTAATGACCAATAACATCTTTGTCCGTGGGAGAGACATCAATGCTTTTTGAACAACCTCCAAAACTAAAATCCAGCTTTTATATGTTTTGTTCATTTTCCAGTTAGTCAACAGATTCTGACTTTTATGGCATCCAACTACCTCTCATCATTGTAATTTAAGATCTGATTTGCAAGTAGTCAAGAGCGAAGAATAGTCAAATATGATGAGTAAGTCAAATTTAATTAATAAGAAAAATGTTTCAAATAACCGAAATAATCTTACAAGACTGATAAATCAAGAAATTCATCGTCAATTGTGGATCTATTCCCCCCAAAATCTTTTCAATATTTCCATCTTTTCTTAATTCCCCAACCTGTCGAACCTGCCTTTGTACACACACAGAAATGTAAAAGAAGAAAAATCCTGGCAAAATAGGGTTCATATTTATGAGAAGAAGAATTAGCAATACGACTCTTGTTGATGTAGGAGGACGCATGTTTAACTTCGGTAAGAGCTGCTTTAGCGGATACAATCGAAGAAGTCTTGTTCAGTATGGACAGGCTATATTTTCTCATATGTACTGGAGATAGCTTATTTTCTTTCAGGAATGGAGAGCTAAATTCTGCAAAAATCTCTCCTCCTCCCTCTTTAACTATGGCTCAGCTCTTGAAAATGAATCCTGCCGCGTCAACCCATAGTTTCCATCTGGGGTTGTTTGATTTTCGCTATTTATAATAATGTCTACTTTTGAACAAAGGAACAGGAAGGAAGATGTATATATGGTGACAT